TGAGACTTTATATTTTTTCATTTGTTTCAAGCATGTTCATAGTTTCTCCCTGAAGCATTTTTATTATGGATGATTACAATCTTTGTCAAATAATTCTAACATCTCTGTCATGTTGGTTTTGGCTTTTTCCATTCATGTGTCTTTTTTCATTCAGTGTGAAATCTTCTTGATGTGATGAATAATTTTCAATTGAATCCTGGACATTTTGTATTATGTTCTGAGACTCTGGACCTGATTTAAACCTTTTAGTTGGTTTTCTGTGACACTGCTCTGTCAAGGGAAGGGGGTAGTGCCACTTCATTACTGCCAGGTGGAGGGACAAGTCCAAGTTTCTTTCTCTTGACTCCTAAGAGAGAGGTCTGCTCATTACTCCTGGGTGGAGATGGGAGTTCTGTGTCCCCATATGGTTTCCTCAGACACCACAGTTTCTTGGAGGTGCTCATTACCACTGGGCAATGGTGCTGCCTTTCCACAAGACCTCCTCTGACAGTGAGAAGGACAAGAGGTGCCTTGTTACTGCCAGGTGGTTGGGAGTCAAGGATCCCCATGTTGTCTCTACTGACAATTTGTCTGGTTCCATTACTGGCCAGTAGGTATGAAAGTCTCATCTTCCTACTTGGCCTCCCTGATACCACCCCAGTGGGGATGTTGGGGGCACTTCATTACAGCCTCATAAGGGAGAAAGTATAGACTTCCCACTTGGCTTTTGCTGGTGAAGGGGTGGTACTGTGTTTTTTTCTATGTTGTTTGGTGGGAGTAGAGAAGTTATTATTTAAAAGTTTCCTCTCTTGCTAGGGTGCCCATTACTCTGTCCTTTGGTTAGAGGGAAAAGGCTTTTGTTGGGGCTTTTTTGGTCTGCATTCATTGGTGTTTCTGTGTTGTCTGCTTCTTCAGCTCCAAGTCTGGGGCAAAGGAGGCAAAAAGAAAACCCAAGGAACTTACCTAGCTGATCTATCTTCTTCTCTCCACCTTTCAAAATCTCTTATGTTATATTTACATATATAACGTCCAGTGATTTTAGTTGTACCTAGTGAGAGGAACAGAGAAAAGTAGGTTGACTCCATCTTCCTGGAAACAAAAGTTTCCTTCCTGATTTTTTTAGTTCTATCAATTACTGAGAAAGGGGCCTTAATATATCCTCTGCTTTAGGATTTATTTTTGGATGATACAAGTAAAATACTTAGCACAGTGCACAGCATAGATTAAGTTCTTATTCAATTATCATTCGTTCCACAAATATTTCTTGAGCATTTTTTAGGTAACAGGCAGTGTTCAACTCATCGGACATTCAGCTGTGAACAAAACAAAGTCCTGCCCTTGTAGAGCTTATATTTTAGCAGAGGGAGACAGATATTAAACAAATAAATTAATAGTCAAGTGGTGATTAATTTCATGGACAGATTTAAAGCAAATCAAAGGGATAAGAAGTATAATTGGCAGGGCAGAGAGAAAGGCTTGCCTTTTGGTACTGAGTAGCCAGGGAAGGCCTCTCTAATAAAGCATAACATGACCAGCATTCTACACATATGAAGGAGCAAGCCATATGGCTATCCAGGTGAAGAGCAGAGACACTTCCTCTCCTCTACAAATTACTGGCCTTGTTTCTGTGGGAGAATGTCCTCAGAATCTTTCCCTGGTCAGGCCAGGGCAAAAGTCTAGGACAGTGTGTTACTTCCAGGATGAAGAGTTAGGCGGTCTTGGTCTGGGTCTGGCTCTTTTATTAGTTATACAACTTTTGACAAACCACTATCCTCTTTGTACTTCAGTTTCCAAAAGGATTCTGTCTATCTCACATCGTTGTGAATATCCAGTGACTGAAAAATTGTATGTGGAAGCATTTTGCAAATAAAACAAGTCGCCCTAGAGATGTAAGATATTATAATTGTATTATTATTACAGACAGTGCTGTCCAACTCGGACTCAAAGGCATTTAGATTGGCTTTTAGCATTATTTAGCTCAACTTCCTCATTGTACAGGTGAAGAAACTGGGGCCCAGAGAGGTTTAGCTGAATTTATAGGTGTAAACATGGTGCGATAGAATATTGTATGCAATTCCTTTGTGAAAGATTTGGTGATAATGTAGAGCTTTGGTTTTCAGAGTGTGGTCCCTGTGCTAGCAGCATCTGCATCACCTGGGAACTTGTTAGAAATGCAAATTTCTGGGCCCCAACCTAGACCTACTGAATTAGAAACTCTGGAGGTGGGGCCCAACAATTTGTGTGCTAACAAGCCCTCCAGATGATTCTGATACATGCTAAATTTGAGAACCACTGATGGAGAGGTTCACATAATCGCTAGACCCATGAAGAATGCTGCTGGAAGCCTTAATACTCAAGGTCAGCCCTCAGCAAAATTGTGAGTAAATGGCTTTTATGGAGGCATTTTCTTGTCTCCTTCTTTTCCCTCTCTCAGAGTTGCCTTCCCTTCAGGCATATCTCAAGAGACCTCTTTCTTCAGGTGCTGTCTTAGTTGGTTAACCAATAATTCTAGCTAGGGTGTTAGTTGAAATTAGTATGTTTTCAATTCAAGAGATTAAATAAAGTGAACATTCTCCAGGATGCCAAGGATTTTGTCTCTAGTAGTAGGAGATTTAGTTATAAGATATATATAAGATAGATAGAAGGGGAAGTAATGTTTTGGAGTAGAGGGATCTTGAGATTTCGTCTGTTCTTGATATCTGTTTGGTTATTGGAACACTTATGAATTGAGTTGAGGGAAAAGGATTCATGATATTTACAAGTATTAGTATGTCAGCGGTCCCAGAATTCACTTTCAGTAACTATGGTCTTCAAGTTGTTAGAACATACAGAAGTAAAGAAACCAGCCTATTACAAATTCCTAGCAGATTTTATTAGTATATTTATGCCTGGCTGGATACCGAAAACGCTAGGGGCATTGTCATCTCTGCCTAGTTCTCTATGTGTACGGTTTAAGTAGGTTTATCTATATGTTAGAGGAAAATGTCCCTTGCCCTTTGTAACAGTTCGCAATCGTCTTCCCATCTGAATTTCTTTCCATCACAGTACGTCTTAGTGCTACTATCAGGGAGGAACCAGACTTAAACTGCCTCCATCGTTCCTCATTCAGAGTTGATCTTGCAGACAGCTTCCCGCCCTCTCCTTGTATGCATCCTGTTTGGGTTCTCATATCCAGTGTTAGTAGGTTATAAACAGTCCCCAGATCTCAATGATCCCTCATATTAATTAAAAAAAAGACAAAAAGAATTATCAGCATTTCTAGATTATCATGTGTAGTTTTGTTGTAAGAGATGAGGAAAGAAGTCTATAAATCACTTAATCTGTGAGGAAGATGAGGAAGAATATGAACCAGAATAGCTGTGACTCTAGATCCTTGCTGCTTTAGTCAGGGACTCCAGAATAACTGACCCATATCTAGTGAAATCCACTCTAAACTCTCTACAGAAGAAATTATTCAGATAGTTAGGAGACAGAGTAATAAAGCAATAGCCCAGTGCTTTTGAGGTCAATAGGTTAACTCTACAGAGTTTAATTAAAATTTGATAATAAAGGCCTACTCGAGGCAGGATATTTCATTAGTCTTCATCATGGCCTTGGTGAACTATTCCTCATAATTATTTTCTACCCCTTTTAAATCCTCTTCTAATGAAGCAGGTTTCTCATTACTAATTAGGATTTCCACACTGGGGAAGAAAATTTCCCAAAGCAGCCTCCTCATTGAAAGAGATCTCCACCGCTGTGAAAGAATAAATTGGTATTCTCTTATCTTATTTTTTAAATGTCCACGCAATGAAGCCAAATTGTAAGCTTAAAAAAGTATCCAAAAAAATCACTCTGGCAATGGCTATGATAAAATTTCAGTCACATTCTTTTCTATATTAAGAAATAAATTCCCTTTCTGGTTCCTCCCTAAAATATATATGGTACGGAGAAAATCAGGTACCTTTATAAGCAGAATTGTATGCAGAAATTAGAAGGCCAACAGAAAGATTTATCTGAAAAATTCTGTCCTTTTTCTTGGAGATGGAGGTTCAGAGGAAAAGAATTTCCCCCAAAAGGAAATAAAATCTATAACCATAGAGTAACTGGGAAGTTTGAATGCATTGAAACTGTTTAACTTCCTCAGTGCTCTCCCAGTCCTTTCTTTAGACAAGTCTTAGAATCCTGCCTTCATTCTGCATTCTCGTTCATTTCCATCACTGTTATCTCTAAGTTGGACCATTTTAATAGCCTTAACAGTCTTCCCAGGCTCTGGTCTTCCCATCTGACTCCATCCTCCATAATACTGCCAGAATTGTGTCGACTCCCCTCCTTGTGAAGTCTCACCAGTTGGAGGCATGTCCTAATTCCTCAACACTGCCTATGAGGCTAGACCCTTCACAGTAGGTCTTAACTTCTGTCTCTGGCTTCATCTGATGTCTTTCGCTCATGGAGCCCATGCTTAAACTCTTCTGAAATCTCATGCTTGTTTTATCGTCTTAGAATGATCATCTCCTTTTCTTTTTCACCTGATAACTATCTACTAATCTTTTAGGAGCTTGCTCACAGTCTCCTTAGAGAATCCTTTCTGGACTGCTTAGGTGAGCAGCCCACTCTGTTTTATTGTCCCACTTTGTTGTCATACTTCTGTCAGAATATGCATGTTGTACCATAATCTGTTTGAATTGCTGTCTCTCCTGCTGGCTTGAGCTCCTCAGTGGCAGGGATGATTGTCATATGCTTGGTGCCCATTTCTGTACAGGCACACACTTGGTACTCAGTAAAACTGGTTGAATGGAATTGAGCGTGCATTAACCATCTTTGTGTTTTCTCAGAGCACTTCATTTCTTTTGCCTTCTGTTAAAGTTGGTTCACTGACCACATCCATTTCTGTCATCATCTCTGCACGCAGTAGGGGCTTAACAAATGCTGAATAACTGAATTAGTTCTAATAGCACTATGGAGCTTGTAATTAAGAGACACATGTATTTTTAGATTGCAAAATTCTCTGCAGATTTTATTTCCTTGACATTACAGTGACATATGACAGTGACAAAGAACTTCACATTTTGTGCATTTCTTTGGTCACTTTTAGCACTTGGATAAATTACTCTTCACTAATGACTTTTGTGTGAACCTCCCGGCTCTTCACCCGCAGCTTATTGACCTGGGACTCGGCGATGTCAGCCCGTTCCTTGGCCTCCTCCAGCTCATGCTGGAGCTTGTGGAATTTGGAGAGGTTGACGTTAGACCGTTCCTCCTGAGAAAAGAAATGCATTTGAGAGAACAGGAAAACTTGACATTTTCTGGTTCTTATTGCCTTTGTTACTAGAAGTAGCTACGAGGTTTGCTTCATGAATGAGAAAGCAAAAGAAAAACCTTAAGGAAGTTTTCAGAATTAACAGGATGAGAAAGATAGCTGCAGCCAAATGAAAAAGAAATGTTCTGAGATGGATTTATTATGAAGTTAAATAAGACTTGGACATCAGAGCCCTCATTTGCACAGCCCCTATGAGTGCTGGGAATTGCTGGGAGTTGTAGAGTGTTCTAGATAGGGAGGGAAGTGGGTTGTACCAAGAAGCATTTCTGGACTAACGTGTCTGGAAAATTGCTTAAAGAGGTCTCAGAAGAAATGAACCTGAATCTCTAAGGCTCCAGTAATTAGTAGTAACATTTTTCATTCTAAATAAATATTCATTTTCATACCTAATTTTGTATTCCCAATTTTGTGTTCTTTGCCTTAAAGAAAGCCTCTTAAATTCTAGAAACTTCAGACTGCACAAAACCTAGACCTGCTCCTGAACCTTAATTTTTAATACCAAACATACTTGATTATTGTTAGTGTCTGCTTGTAAGTATAAAGCACAAGCCCTACCCCAAGAATATTTAAGGTGCTCTACCATGTGCCACCACATGGCTCATGAAAAATGGGTTATTAATTTTTGGTTGCTTATTTACATTTGTTGGCTCTATATTTTAAGTGCATAAATAGCATCATTATTGATACAAAAATGAGCCAAGAATCTTTCATTTTTGGGAATTTGACAGTATTTGAAATACTCTCTGTGAAGATACTCACAGCCTCTTCAGCTTGTCTCTTATAAGCTTTAACTTTGGTTTGTAATTTGTCCACCAAGTCCTGCAGCCTGAGAACATTCTTACGGTCCTCCTCAGTCTGAAATGAAAGAGGTAGCAAATAGATACTGTCATTATTCGAAAACTCGTGAAAATAAAATATGGAAAACCTAAAAGGCTGGTCACCTGGTAAGTGAGTTCCTTTACTCTTTCTCTCATGTTTGCGCAGACCCTTGACAGCCTCAACATTGCGCTTCTGTTCACTTTCAACCTCATTTTCAAGCTCCCTCACCTGGAAGAGAACAAAGGAGTTTAACAATTGGCTGTAACTAGCTGCGTGAACAGGCCAGGAATTGAATGAAGTGGTGGAGACCCACCCTGGCCTCCAGTTTCTGGATCTGCTTCTTCCCACCCTTCAGGGCCAGCTGCTCGGCCTCATCCAGACGCTGCTGCAGGTCCTTCACCGTCTGCTCCAGGTTCTTCTTCATCCGCTCCAGGTGGGCGCTGGTGTCCTGCTCCTTCTTCAGCTCCTCAGCCGTCATGGCCGCCTAATTCACAGTAAAACAAGATCAGTTGAGGCAGCTGAGATAGCACATCAAGATTCAAGTTTGACCACCACTGCGTTGCCCTCTGCTCACATCGGTGATGGCCTTCTTGGCCTTCTCTTCTGCGTTGCGAGCTTCCTGGACAATGTCCTCCACCTCTCCCTGCAGCTGGGAAATGTCTGTCTCCAGCTTCTTCTTGGTGTTGATCAAGCTGGTGTTCTGTTTCAAGTTAATAAAAAAGAAGAAAAGCAAATTTCATTATAACTATTTACATTTTCATTTTTACTAGTGTACACAGGCATAAATTATTGATCGTTAGAAATAATTCAGAATAAAAACCAAGTCAAAAGTTGATTCTAAGTATATGCCTTCTCTTCCTTCTACCCACATCTCTGTTAATAAAAGTTCTCTTAAATTCTTCCAGATAAAATTTAATTTTTAATACCAAACACATTTGACTGTTGTCAGTGTCTGCTTGTAAGCATAAAGCACAAACCCTACCCCAAGAAAATATTTGAAGTGCTTCACCATGTGGCACCCCACGGCTCATGAAAAATAGATTATTAATTTTTGGTTGTTTATTTACATTTCTTGGCTCTATATTTTAAGTGGATAAATAGCATCATTATTGATACAAAAACAAGCCAAGAGTCTTTCATTTTTGGAAAGTTGACAGGATTTGAAATATTCAGTCAGTTCAAGGATACTAATAATGAAAAAGAAAACTGCTACATTTTAACTTGATTTTAAAATTATTTGTAGTATCTGATTTTAACTTTTTCATGATGGCTATTTCCATATATTATAACTTTAAAAAGTATACATTAATATATGTTTATTGTAAAAAAATAGAACATGCAAATTTGTAAAAAAAGAGACAGTAATTATTGTACTCTCACCACCCAGAGGTAATCATTGATAACACTTTTCTTTGTCCTTCTAGATGTTTCCTGTATATTTTTAACAAAGAGGATCATACTTTATATATCATTTTTAAGTTGCTTTTTTTACTTACTGTGTTGTGAACATCTTTCCATGGCAACAAATGGCTGTATTTTCGCCACTGTGAGGCTATACCACCATTTATTTAACAAGTCCATTATAAACAACAAATGCTGACTAGCAGTAATGATGGCCTCTATGAATTTGAACATAAGAGCTTCTTTTTATATCCCATGAAGTTAGCTTTATGTGCATACACAATATGTAATTATTACCTGTGGCTTATTCTTTCTCCTGTATTTTATTCGCTTAGCTATTTGTAGCTTAGAGTTGCAAAAGACAAGATGGCCACCAATGTTGTGTATATAGTTATTAGTAGGGGGTCTTTGTGCTTTTTTACAAAAGCTTCTAGAACTCTAAATTATTTCAAATCAACATGATTATGTCAGTCCATAAATATACTTGTGAATCAGCTAGGCCTCAGTATGTACTTACCGATGTACATTTTCCAGAACTTCAGCAAGGGACCCTTGCCAAGATTACTTCTTACTTTATAACAAGCTTATCCTCTCAAATTGTCTTCAACTACAGGGAGTGCATTTGCTCAACCATAGCCCTGAACCTCACCTGGGTGTGCAAGAGTTGCACACGCTCACTAGCATCCAGAAGCTCTTGCTCTGCCACTCTCCTGCTCCTCTCAGTCTGTTCCAGGGATGCCCTCAGCTCTTTAATCTGTGCCTGCATCAGGTTAGCTCTGCGCTCAACCATTGCCAGTTGTTCTTTAAGATCATCTTGGCCTCTGATGGCATCATCCAAATGTAGCTGAATGTCCTACACAGAAAGAGAAAATGACTCTTACTCATGCTCCAATTAAAGCAAATGCAAATTTAGGGTCATGGACACATGTTGATCTTAATAACTTAGAGTATGATTAGATAGGAAAAACTTGCAAGTCCCTTTAATGACAAATTTTTTGTAGCTGAGGATAGCAGTTCTACCCTAAAGAACATGATGTTATATTATTTTAGATCCTGAATCATAAAAGAATACCATGGCTAAAACTACAAAATTTTGGATCAGGAAAGTATCCTTAGAGATGAGCTACTCTAATGGTGTTATTATATATATTTATATATTAAACAAATATAGATATATGTATTTTATAGATATTTATATATTATATTATAAATAGATTATATATAAATAGGTTATATTATAAATAGATATTTATATACATCACATAAATGGAGAGATCTGTGCAGTGGCCTCTTTCATCACTTCCTCTGTCTCCCCACCCCACTTCTCTTCACTTGAAAGTATAAACTCTGTCCTGGGCTTTCCAGAGTTAAGCTATTTTTCAGCTGTGTACATAAAATTTTCAACTGATTACCATATTACTTAGATGATTTATGGCAAATAGTCCTCCTAAAATTTAAAATTGGAGTTACACAATTACACACAGACTGTGTGACACCGTGTGTGTTTGTCCAGTGTACCTTCAGTATTCCTTGTGTGTTTCTAAGATTCCTCATTGCCTCAGTAGCCTGGCGGTTGGCGTGGTTCAGCTGAATTTCCATTTCATTAAAGTCTCCCTCCATCTTCTTCTTGATCCTCAGGGCATCATTTCTGCTTCTGATCTCAGCATCTAGGGTGCTCTGCACTGATTCCACAACTCTGAGATGGTTCCTCTTTAGCTGATCGATTTCTTCATCTTTTTCAGAAATTTTCCGGTAAATCTCAGATTTCACCTGATTTAACTCAAGTTGAATGTGAAGGATTTTGCCTTCTTCATGCTCAAGAGATGCCTTTCAAAAAAGCAACATTGAAGTTAACTAAAGAGCTTTTTTTCCTTTTGTACATTATGGTGATTTGTCCAAGAAGGTATTAAAAAAACTCATGAAGTTTCATACATTTTAATTTTGCCTATTCTGCATTTCCAAGGTACAATTCAGTATTTCTCACTGAATTACATGAGTTATCCCTTAAAGGCTTGCAACACAATACACCTGAGTTGCTATTAATTTTTCCATTTATTTATGATGTGTAGCTGAGTAAACGGAACACGTACCTCTGCCTCCTCTAGGGCAGCCTGTAGTTCGTTCTTCTCTTGATCTATTTGTTTCTTCACTTTCTCCAATTCATGGGTATGCTTTCCTCCCTCTGCAATTTGCTCGGTCAGGTCAGAAATCTCCTCTATGGTTTAATAATAAAATACCAAATTCAGTCGAGAAAAAGGAAAAATTGAAAAGATCCCTCCATACCATTTTTGAAATAGAATGATTACAAAGACTCACGCTGCAAGTTCTTATTCTCTCGCTTTAGCGTTTCAAGTTGGTCCAGGGATTCCTCGTAGGCATTCTTCACCTTGAACAGCTCAGTGCTGAGAGAACGGGACTCCTTCTGGGAGGCCTCCAGTTCAGCCTGAGTTTCTTCATTTTTCTATTTCCATTCTGATAGGACCTGGAAGGACATCAGAACTAAGCTTCTGTAACCAAGAATCATGCCAGTTTCCCCATAGGAAGCTGGTCACTGTGGACCACCTTGTCAAAGTTCCTCTGCTTCTTATCGAGGGCTGCGCAGGCGGCATTAGATCTCTCCACGTCAATCATGAGGTCCTCCACTTCATTCTGGAGCCGCTGCTTCGTCTTTTCTAGAGAAGCGCATTTGGAATTCACGGCTTCCACATGTTCCTCACCATCCTGCAGACACTGGGCCAGCTTCTTCCTGAAAAGTTGGTCAGTGTGAGTGACCAAGAGTGGATTCAAAGTTACCACAGTGAACTTTAGAAAGCTGCTGACTAGGAAAGCATGCTTTCCCCAAGAGTTTTTGCTCCTATGTCCACAAGTTAAGATTTTCTAAAATATCTTCTCAGTAGCCATTTTATCTGTTCTAGAATTCTATTTTCTCTAGTGAATTCTTATTTATATCTCAGGAGTTGTCAAATATATTGTTGAGGCCATTTTTTGTGTGTGTGGTGGTGGTGGTGTGTGTGTGAGAGAGAGATTGATTATGAGTACGCACTTTAGCTGAGTGAGCAATGTGAGGATGTGAGGATGTGAGAGTGAGGAAGAAGTCACAGCCAGGAACAGGAGGCATATCATCAAAGAATGTTAGCATTGAGTAGGATCCTTAAACATTTTCTAGTATAGTCCTCTTTACAAAGAGGAAACTGTGGCCCAGAATGACGGGTCCAAGGTCATAGAAGTAGTCAGTTACTTTCTGGGTTTGGTCACCCCAGACAATAAATATTATTCCATTATTATTACACTTCCCACATATCATCCAAAGTCTTACTGCTCTCTTCCCCACCCCACCTAATTCATGACCTCTCCAGCCCACACGCTTATCCAGAGTGCACCCTCTGCACATGCTTGCCAAACCCTCTCATTCTGTTTCATTCTAACAACTACTGAGATAAATCAAATTTAGGGAAGCTTCCTTCACAGGAAAGATAATGGTTATTTTCCTTCGACGTGTAACTCCCATGAGTTTTATTCCACAAAAAGTGTGTTATTAGTGAATAAGTTCATTGATACTGGTTGTTAGTTAAATGATGACAGAGTATGATAGTTTTATTCTGGACTTCCAATACTCCAGGTAGGAATAAACTGATTATCGTTAATTAAAATTTTCATAATAATGTGCCAGATAGTCTCCATGTCTCCATTTTTCCTTGTGTTAAATGAAATTAGTTCTACTTAATTCATAAAGGGTATGCTGATAATTATTAATTCATTTTGGTGGAAAGAAATTTGAGACACATTTGTAATAGACCAGAAGGGGAAGAGGGCTCTGGTCTTGGCCCATTCTCCAATAGGCATACACTGGGCTGTAAGAAGAATATACTTAATTAGAGTATATTTGATTGTATTTGAATATATTTCATTGTAGAGTGGGAATACAATCAAATAGGATGAAATCCTTTACTTATCTCCATGCCTCGATTATTCTGTCTTTTATTTTGCCTTTGCTGTTTTTTTCTGGGGGGAGGGGTGAGGAAGATTGGCCCTGAGCCAACATCTGTTGCCAATCCTCCTCTTTTTTTGCTTAAGGAAGATCGT